TTAATACTACATGCAGGGGGAGGGGTGACATGCTGTGTAGTGTGAGTGTTTAATACTACATGCAGGGGGAGGGGTGACATGCTGTTTAGTATGAGTGTTTAATACTACATGAAGGGGTGATATGCTGTGTAGTGTGAGTGTTTAGTACTACATGCAGGGGAAGGTGTGACATGCTATTTAGTATGAGTGTTTAATACTACATGCAGGGGGAGGGGTGACATGCTGGGTAGTGTGAGTTTAATACAACATGTGGGGGTGATGTGCTGGATAGTGTGAGTGTTTAATACTGCATGTAGGGGGAGGGGTGATATGCTGGATAGTGTGAGTGTTTAATACTACACTACACGTAGGGGGAGCAGTGTGAGTGTTTAATGCTGCATGCAGGGGGATAGTATGTTTAATTTGCAATACTACATGCAGGGGGAGGGGTGATGCTGGGTATGCATGCAGGGGAGGGGTGACATGCTGGGTAGTGTGAGTGTTTAATACTACATGCAGAAGGAGGGGTGACATGCTGGGCAGTGTGAGTGTTTAATGCTGCATGCAGGGGGAGGGGTGACATGCTGGGTAATGTGTTTAATACTACATGTAGGGGGAGGGGTGACATGCTGGGTAGTGTGAGTGTTTAATGCTGCATACTGGGGAGGGAGTGACATGTTGTGTAGTGGGTTTGATACGACATGCTGTGTAGTGTGAGTGTTTAATACTACATGTAGGGGGAGGGGTCACATGCAGGGTAGTCTGAATGTTTAATACTACATGTAGGGGATGGGTGACATGCTGTGTAGTGCGTTTAATACTACACATAGGGGTGACATGCTGCGTGGTGTGTTTAATACTACATGCTGGGGAGGGGTGATATGCTGTGTAGTGTGTTTAAGAGAATCATACCTCCCACGTTTCTTTAATTTTGAAGGGACAGTCCCTATAGTGGGCCCAGAGCCCTCTTTTCTATCCTAATTTCTTTATTTTGCAGACGCTCAGTACTCATGGTGAGTCTAAATTTATACCAGAGTTCAGCAGCATAAATACCGTTCCTCCCAACCATCCTAATATCCGAGGAACAGTCCCAATTTTAGTATCCTGTTCCACTGTCCTTAATTTGTTCCCTGATGACCCACTTTTAGGGGTCGCGCAAGCACTGCACTAAAACAGTGCTCAATGCATGTCCTGCCTCAATGGGCCAGCCTGGGTGAGTGACATTGAGCCTTGTGAGCATTTATACCAAGCTGACCTGCCTGTAATTTGTATGGGCTTGCTCCCATTCCGCATGGGCCTGCCCCCTTTTGGTAGAGTCAGTGACATATTCACGACTGGTCCGCCCCATTTTCCCCCTCCCACTGACATCTCCCATCTCGAGATGCCAATATTGGGGGTTATGTAACACTAATTTAGCAATTTATCTTTAAGCTGCAATAAATATATGTTTAGAAATCAGCCTGTGTAAATAAAAGACACTATTCTTGTTCTAAATTTAATTTTGAGCTGTAAAACCTATTTCATTTATTAGTAAGTCACCTTGATGTGGAATCAATAAATAAATGTATTATCTTGCGTATCTGCCCCAGCCAAATTAAAGGACCACTGTAGTGCCAGGGGAAAACATACTCGTTTTCCTGGCACTATAGGGGCACCCTCAGGGACCCCTTCCCGCCCGGCTCTGGGGAGAGGAAAGGGTTAAAACTTACCTTTTTTTCCAGCGCCGGACGGGGAGCTCTCCTCCTCTCCTCCCTTTCGGCTGAATGCGCAATGCGCGTCAGGAGCTGCGCGCGCATTCAGCCGGTCTCATAGGAAAGCATTTACAATGCCTTCCTATGGACGCTTGCGTCTTCTCACTGTGATTTTCACAGTAAGAAGCACGCAAGCGCCTCTAGCGGCTGTCAATGAGACAGCCACTAGAGGATTTGGAGGCTGGATTAACCCTATTATAAACATAGCAGTTTCTCTGAAACTGCTATGTTTATATATATATAAAAAAAAGGGTTAATCCTAGAGGGACCTGGCACCCAGACCACTTCATTAAGCTGAAGTGGTCCTTTAAAGAAGTAATGCATGCACGCTCCTAAAGTAATTCACACCAGACACAAGTTTCGGGTTAATGAAAAACTTGAGGAATGTTTATTGCTTATAAAGCAAAATTACATCATATGCATTTGTCAGAGATAACACAAAATAATACATCAATAATTGTTTAGGTGTTAAGTGTTCATTTAGTGCTCTTCCTACCGGGTGTGATGTCACTGGTATCTTGGAGGCCTCCCCCAGATTTCAGCGCCATCTTGTTAATGAGGGTGTTATTTGATGTCAAAAAGGAAACTCCCTAGCAGCCATTTTAGGTAAATCACATAGAAAGTTGAATAATTCTGATTGTAGTTATGCTGAGTAAATAGGCATTTTACTAACATGAATTGGGTTAATATTTTTGTCCACAACAGTCCCCCCTTAAAATGACTACCGTATTTTTCGCTCCATAAGACGCACTTTTTTTCCCCTCAAAAGTGAGGGGAAATGTCTGTGCGTCTTATGGAGCGAATGTGAAGAATTACTTACCTGTCTTGGAGCGTGGGCCGGCTTCACAGCGCGCTCCGCGGTCCAGGAACTTCTATTTCAGGTTCCGGTTTCCGGCGGGACTGAAAGGAAGTGTGCACACTGTGTGTGCACACTTCCTTTCAGTCCCGCCGGAAACCGGAACCTGAAATAGAAGTTCCTGGACCGCGGAGCGCGCTGTGAAAGCCGGCCCACGCTCCAAGACAGGTAAGTAATTATGGGACAAGGGGAGGGGGAGACACTATATATATGGGAGAATATGGGACAAGGGGAGGGAAGGAGACACTATGGGACAAGGGGAGGGGGGGAGACACTATGGGACAAGGGGAGGGGGACACAGGGGAGACACTATGGGGAAGGGGAGGGGGGACACTATGGGAGAAGGGGAGGGGAGGGACACTATGGGACAAGGGGAGGGGGAGACACTATGGGACAAGGGGAGGGGGAGACACTATGGGACAAGGGAGGGGGACACTATGGGACAAGGGAGGGGAGACACTATGGGACAAGGGGAGGGGGGACACTATGGGACAAGGGGAGGGGGAGACACTATGGGACAAGGGCAGGGGGGGACACTATGGGAGGGAAAGTGCACTATGGGACAATGGGAGGGGGGGACACTATGGGATCAGAACACTAATGGACAAGGGGAGGAGGGGTTAAAGAACACTATGGGACATAGGAGGGGTTAACAATCACTATGGGACAGGGTAGGAGGGGTTAACAATCACTATGGGACAGGGTAGGAGGGGTTAACAATCACTATGGGACAGAGGAAAGGGGGGTTAAAGATCATTATGGGACAGGGGAGAAAAAAAAATATTCTGAACAAACTGTCCCATGGTAAGAAACACTATGGAACAGTTTGTTCAGAATATTTTTTTTTCTGGGTTTCCTCCTCTAAAAACTAGGTGCGTCTTATGGTGAGGTGCGTCTTATGGAGCGAAAAATACGGTATTTACGAAAGAGAAAGACAGACAACTACTAACTAACCCTAATGATGTCCATAATTGGCTGCAGCTCATCTGTCTGAACAGACCTCGAACACTTCACTGCGCAGGTATCCCGCAGTGGCTAACGCACTACATCTCCCACGTCAATACTTCTGCCCGTAGAGATAGACGCTATCCCTATGCTGTCCCTATTTGGAAGTAATTGTCTGTTTGAGGTGGTGGGACTGTGTGTGTGTGGGGTGTCACAGTCCATGTCGTCAGTATCCTGATGTAGGAATGTAGGTGTAGTGCAGTCAATAGTCTGATCTACAGTCTTCTGTAAATATTTCTGCACGCAGGGCATCACACAGCAAGTGAGGAAGAGAAAGAGAATTACCACAATAAGGACTGCCATATCTACTTGAAAGAGAGTTTTCTGCCACCCACTCATCCATCCAAACCATTTGTCCCATGAATTGGGGACTCCCGAGTTCCTTTTTAATTCGTCAGAAAGACTTTCTAATTTCTCTATGACCATGGTTACCTTACCGTTGGGGCCTGTATTGTCTGGGATGAAGGTACAGCATGTCATAGTATTGGGAGTATTTTACACACGCCCTCCTTTTCTGCTAGGATTATATATAAGGCCATTCGATTCTGAAATGTCATTTGGGAGGTAGTCTGTAATTGTTCTGCTAAGCACTGAAGGG